TACGTCGGGCACGGGCTGAGCTCCGGCGGGGAGCATAATCACCCCACGGCATCCTTGGTTCGCGACTGAGCATCTACGGGAACTCGAAGTCTTCATATAAAAAGACACATTCGAAGTAAACAGTAGAAACATGTTTTTTGCCAGTTTTTAGTTTTTGTGGACTGTTAAATAGTTATTTAGGACTTCCATCCATTAATGTATATGTTTTGTACTATGTGATTGTCTTAATAACTGTGTCTTTATCGTGACGCTGTTGGTGAAGAGAAGCTTCTATACGAATCAAGAAAGCTGCCGATACTCATGCCAATGATAATGGCTAGGTGCTTGAGATAGCCACATTCAGAGTAGAATCCATATTATTCGAGAAGATCCATAAATTGTTTCCTAATTGGATATATTTAAACGGCCAATGAATCTATATCAGCCATGATGTGGTAATGGAACACTCTTCAATAGATCTGCGTATGTGACGGAAACGGGTTAGAAGAGGGAAATATGGATCGCGTAGATGAAAGCTTGTATTCTTTAGGTAGAGGTTAAACACCATGGCGTTTGAATATTCACCAAATATACTTCTTTCTATAAAAACCGAAAAAATCGTAGAACTCGTGTATTTATTTCTAGGCTTGAGTACTCTCGATTAGTTAATTCCTATTCATTTTTGGTAGATCGTTGGTTCAAATCGGAGCCGAAGCGTTGATTTTTTGTAATTTAACATTTGACGATCTGCTCGAAAGCGCTCCCATATAAAAAAAAGTGATTTTCCACAATTTGTTGAACTTGAAAAAACTCGAGGCGAGGCAACTCATTCGCGCATTACCCCATATACGCTCACCTAATTTTTCCCGTATTCCTATTACGATTTCGATAGCCCCTCAGTTGCCCATATGCGTTCACTGACTGGAGTAATTTTTTGCAGGCTTCTCTCTCGTTCTTTCACTATGCGGTCTTTTCAGGGAGGTATGTGATGAAAAGGGATGTGAGTGTACGCAGTCGGGTCCGCCCTGCCCAGTAAAGTACTGGGCGGCCCCATAACAATCGACCCAAATAAGAATCTAGCGGCTTCGTCAAGGCAAGCAACGCGCATGAGGCTGGTCGAATTTGACTACTAGTGTCTCTTCACTATTGGACCGATGCTATATCTCCTCTTCGTCATCCACCCGTCATCGTGGCTTCGACATGCTCGTTGTTTCACGAGGAGTGATGGACCAACGCTGTTATATGTCTCTCTTGGCCTGTCTGTTGTGTACGATAGATGGAGAAATAATCGACCAAGCTTCAGGCGGGCCAAACAGCCTAGTATGAAGGGGGCAGAGCACGACGGTGCCGCCGATTTTGACGATGAAGAATTGTTGACCCGTACCCACAGCACTAGTAGCTGGCCAGACGCAACGTATCAGCTAGAATAGCTCGAATATAGTATCAGGATGGGACAATTACACAGAAGGGTGAGCCACAAAAGCAAAAGAAACAAAACGTGAGAGTGACTGAAATATAGGGATGTAATATAACATTACATCGACATTATAACGATTCTCCGACGGCAGCGAACGGGACGACGAAGCTGACCATTGGCGAATGAAGCGAGCTGCTGGCGGCGGGCTACTGCACAAGTAATGCATGTAAGTTAGTAAGTGTGCGTGAATAGCACGGGGAGCAAAAGCAGATGAAATAAAGACCAGCAAATTGTAGGTTTCGTTACATACCAGCTTTTGCTAGGGAATAATTCTGCTTGATCTTCTTTAGCTATAGATATAATACATTGATGATGATGGTTCGTTCTAGTTGCTGACGGACATGAGCATAACGATAGCTATAGACGTGTCCGGTCGCTCGCACACAGCCCGCTTGTTACCACGACGGGCTCCATAAACGCAGTGCAGGTTGAGAAGCGCCTTCGGCCATTCGATTGCCCCCGACTGCATAGCTTTTAATAAATAGTTTTTTAGTCGTTTTTTGAAGGGATATTTCATAGGTCTAGTTTATGTACAGTCGATTAAGCAGAACTAATAAGAAGCCTAATCGATCTCTTCGTTTCCAGTAGGAGTTACGTTAGCGTATATAAATAACGTGAATCACTCGTAAGTGAAACGAAAAATACATCTATACTACTTGGTAATAAAATCCGTGCATATAAAAACTATGGTATACGGTCGTCTATCCAAGGAGGCAACAACTAATTGAGTAGGAGTTTTTCTGCAAGGCGTTTCTATAGTAGCGTTCCTCTGAAATTTCAAAGTTCATATTTAAAAGTCTTTGATCCTTTCTGTAGCGCAGAAACTTCGTGAAGCATTAACGATTACGTTTCAGGCGTTCGGGAAGTAACCATTCAGTTAGTCATCTTTCTGTGTTTCTGTCGATCTCTGTACAAGTCCATCGATTGTTTACACGGATAGAATATAACTACGCGATTGTTATTCTAGCCAAATTGAATTAAACTCGTCAATCAGAATGTACGAGTATGTAACCTTGCCTGGTTGACCGTCTTATAATATGACGTACGGCTCTAACGAGAACAAGACTGCCGACTACTTTGGCGGTGTCTCCTACAATTACCTCCTTGTAGAGTTACTGATGGAAGCTAATTCATTCTCAGGCGAATGCGAACACCAATCGAAGCAACGGTCGGTATAACGAAATCTGTCATTCTGTTTACTATTTCCAGAACTGGACACCGTCATTCTGGTGGTATCGCCACGATCCCGTGTTAGAATTTGCAAAGGGGAGTGTTAGAATGAAGACTCATAGATATAAAATTATGAGAGATACAACACCTATATATGCGCGTAACAAAAAGCAAAGATATTTAAACAGTTTAAGCGAAGTGAAACATTACCTATTAAAAGAGTAACTTTCATTTTCGATTTAGAAGAGCAGGGGCATTTCAGCTTCAGTTGAAGTTTCCCCTTTGATCTGGGTTAGTTAGACGGGTTGGAAAAGGTCCAAAAGCTACTCAATTTTTTTGCTGAAAAACTCCATTCTTCTCAAATGGGCATTGCGTATGAATTCAGTCACACTTCAACATGGATAAGCGTATTTATTATGTACTATTTCATACTAAGCTTTGGGTATTCCTTTGGGCTGTGGGCAAAACGCACGTTATGGCCTGATCCATTTTTTCCATAATCGTACGAAACTCCAGCTCATAGCTAATATAAGCTATCAGTCTAGCCCATAAGTAATAAAAATGTAATGTTGATTAACAGAAGCGGCCCCTATGAATGCATTTTGAAAGCAAGAATGAAACTGCGGATTTGACTATGAGGATGGGCATGTATCTACGCTCAAGGTTTGCCCCATTCAGCACAAGCGGTTTCTGTCTCGGCTGAGGAGAATTAAGACAAAAAGACCGATGCGGCATCGACCATAATACTCAGCCAGCCACATTGGCCCAGTAACACAATCGCATATCGATACAACTAAAAGCTATTCAGCTGTAAAATTCAAACTTCAAATTCCCGCTCACTCCGCTGTGAAAAATCCCTCAAACAAATAACATGTTTTAACATGGATGCTAACTTTTTTGATCTAGTCGGTTAAAAATCGCGGTGCCAAATAATGGACTGTTCTCACGTTACATTATTAAGATCCTTGATAATTTATCTGAGGGCACGTCTTCAGACAGGGAGATACACATTATTGCATCTTGGAGACGAGAGCCCGGTCTGAACTGTACCAGGGGATTTTAAGAATTTTTTCAGTCTCTTATTCGTTCCAAGCACTATGAGCGGGTTTCGTCCTCCGAAGTTTGCTCGTACGGCTTAGATTGATTAGTCGTTTTACGCAGAATAAAAGGACTAGCCCTGAAATCTAGCCCTTTTATTATTAAGCTTCCATTTTGATTGTTCAAGATCCAATGCCTCGTTCAGTACAATAGTTATAGAGTGAGTTTTTTTATAGTATAGTACAATAATAACGTGCGAGGAAGCACCTGTTGTTTTTCTTCTTGCGTCTACTTGTTAAAACACTAGGGTCGGGGGTTGGCGAATGGATTTGTCACATGTAAATTGTTACTTGAAAAGGGGATGCCACGAAATGTTGATTTCTGCAGCCAATTGAGTACGCTAGAAGAACGGCTAAAGGAACACGTTTTAAATTATTGTTTGAAATCGATCATTATATAGGCTAACTTTTAATTTTGTCTTTGAACCTCACGTTTGAAATTAAAAACAGTGTTGTACTCTAATAATATATACTGTATCATATTTTGTATTCAACTGGGTCAAGTTTTGTGTTAGCGTTTGTCTACTAGAGAGGTTTTTTTTATTTGTTCCGATATTCTGATGCCAATAGAATGTGAGACTAGCCTGAAACTTGTGAACGAGTAAGAGACGTTTGAATCCGTATGAAGAGAAGATATTCTCTAGGTAGCCACATATATCCTACCCATGGAGCACCATGAGTATGCCAAGGAACAGCCAACGGACCGAAGCCGTCTTAAAGGAGATCCAATATATTCTAATTTCAGGAACTAGCTTTAAGAAAACATTGATCTTATTATTTATGCAAATAGCGAGTGTTATCGTGGTTTACCGTCAATACAGTACAGAGCCTAATTTGTTGCCATATATGGGTTTTATTTCCAGTTCCTAACCTAACCTAACCTAACCTAACCAGCTTTACAAGGGGTTAGGGATTGAATATCGATCTATTCATATGTACAGCAACAAGTAAACTCTAAATCTAAAACATGTCGATGTAGCGTAATATTCCATTTTGTCACTTCTGTCTCTAAGAAAAAGTATGCAAATCAGGGAAAATCCAAAGCACGATGCCCGTTTATAATTCCCGTTTATTATTCGCTATAAACACTCGTGTGATTGTATGTACATTTATGGTATTTCCAGATATCTCAGTGTCCGTTAGCAAAACTACCTATACTTTTTTTTTTGGTAGAAACATCTACCTGTTGTCGTCAGATAGACCTTTTTAGCTTTCTGGGGGACAGAGTATCGCGATAATCTTTTCAAGGTTACTAAGTAAATGAACAGTAGACGCCCAATAACGATGTTGTGCATACAATGAATGAAAGCGAAAAACAAGCATAGTACCCCCGTTGACTAGCGTAGTCAAGCTCGAGTGCGATTGCTGAAAATGACGGCAACGCTAACAGTTTTAACAGCACTCTTAGCTTACATAGAGATCTCGAAGTCGAAATTACGGTGTGAGGGTGCGGTGCATATAAGCTCCGACTGGGAGGATAAGACAGATAATCTGCTCCAAGAACTACCCTCATTTGGAACATGTTGGATGGACATTGATAGTCAGGTATATGCTGGTAAACTACAGTGTAGAAACAATGCTGCTTTACCTGCCGTCCTTACTGCTAGAATAGGTTTGTACGTTTGATCTAGGTTGAGAAAAGTTAAAAAATAAATTTTAATGTGAAATAAATTTTTGACGCGTACGTACGTTTTGGCTGATCCTAATTGAGCTTAGATTAGTGAATAAAGACGCCTGGATGTTAATTATTTATTTTATCAGTGTCTAACCTTGGCGTGTGAGTGTACCTAGCATAGAACTTGTTTCTCAAAGGAAACATCGTCTTGAATTACCTTCTCATTGTACTTTATAAATGTGCCTATGAATAAAACAGGACGTATCTGGCTGTTTAAGTGGCAAGTTTTCTTATGAGGACCGTCTGCGGTGGGCCGAACATTTATCGCGATGCTTTCTGGGCCTTGTAAGACAGAATGTGCCCTGTGCTAAAAATTCTAGATTTTGTGATGTCCAGGCCCTACTTCGACAAGACCCAAAGACGAAAAACGTCTTTACATCGTTCTTTAATGAAACCTATTCGTTTTGCGGATTTATTTCATCGCTGAAACGAACTCGGGCGTCACTTGAAGTAAGTTAAAGCAACTCATTTCGGTAGTAAAAATATACAACTTCGCATGGCTTTCTTGCTAAGCACTACATTGTTCGGTTTATAATAATTCAAACCGTTTCATATAACTAATGTAATATACAAGTATCGATGGCCTTGTTGTATCTGTAGACAATTAAGACGGTGGCAGGTGAGGTCCGTGAGGCACTTGTTAACGTTTCAGCATTATTGATACATGAAAGAGTTGTTTTGGGCGAAACAACTTCTAGTCGGAGAAAGGTTTTCGCAGAGTCGCTTGCAGCCCAGAGGGATGCACTCCGTTTGTCGCTCGAGACAAAAGCCGCCACCCTCCAAAAATTCGTAAAATACACGTCCACTGCAACTTTCGATCGAATCGTCGGTTTCGTTCAATTCATAACAGGTAATATACGCTATCTATCTTGAATTTTTTTAAGTGAAAATAATCTAATTTCAATAAACATTTTGGTTTTTTTTTATTTGTTAATGTGAAAGAAAGTAAAAACTGCACGAAGATCTGAAACGCGATTTCGTTTCATGAACAAATGGACATTGCGAAAATTCGCTAAAAAAATTATACAAAAAAATCGGCATTGGACGTCCCTGAATGGTACCAAACCCGTTTTCCTGTAACTCTGTCCAATACAGAACACAGCGACCTGTTTGAATTGCTGTTGAGTTTGACGTTACCATTTGCCATGTGCTGGTCTATAACAATTGGTGAACTCACAGAATCGGCCCGAGTACCGTTAATGTTGCTATGGGCTTGCTCAGCTATCGTCAACCATCTACTTCGGGACAGCGTTGCTACGGGGTACGTCTTTTTCTGACGTTACTTGATAAACTTTTTTTTTTTTAAATCAAACAACTGTTGCTTAACATCCTGCTATTTCCAAGCCGTTAGTAGCTAGCAATTCCAAGCTTGTAGTATAAATCGTAATGTAAATTTTTTGCGGAAATACTTGTTTCTTTACATTTTTCACGTTATCACAAAATCAACAACGTTGGCTATACGTGGTGTTGACAAACGCCAATCAGACAAGGATTTGACAGCAGCTTAAATCTATCGTTATCTATATCATAGTCACTTACTCTTCTGGACTATTTTCTCTTGGGTTTCTCAAAGAGTAGGGTTTTTACGAGAATTCTTTTTTTATGAAAAATAAGGTGGGGGACAGCACTTAGCAATTCGGCAGTTCGGCAATTTCGTATTAAAGTAGAAGAATCAGATGGTGTGTGGCGTTATGATCCTCTGGTCAAACTGTGGAGTGGTCGTTTGGAGTTGAAAGCTCTATTTACGCATTAAGGATAGATGAAAAGCTGTGCATTTTTTGCCTATTCGAGATGGTAATACCATAATTAGATGATCCTACCTATTTAATTGGTAATATATATATGTGTGTGTGTTATTAATTCGTGAAGATTACTTAGAAACATGTAGCAAAAAATAAATTAGAATAAAGGAATCGAAAACTGGTTATTGTGGGAGGGGTAGAAAGAGAAAACTCCTGTCGAACTTACAACAGCAGTAGATGCCGTACGTTATTGTCCTTCGTATTTTTTGACTTTTAAGCTCATCATTTGTCCTACTAACGTCTGTCTCTGAATGAAAATCCGCTAATATTCATATGCAGCGTGGTTAAACGCTATGACTTATGAGTTTACATACGTCGATATCGTTTTCCTTCCGATTACTGCGAAGAAACAAACATTCGTCAATTATGAGGGATGTTTAAAAAGAACTGAAACGGATGGGCAAACACGCAGGCAAAGGATGTTCCCTTGACGCATGCCTCGTTCCATATTTGTCCTCGTTTAAATGCAGCTTATAAATGGACGACATCATTTATTCTAAACACCTACAAATTCATGAACGCTTGGGAGGTCCTCGGCAGTATTACGATTTTCTTTACTTAAACCCAATATGCCTCGCAAAAGTCAGCTTTGAAATATATGGCTTCCATGCAGAAATTTACGGGATTCACTTAAAAACATAGCGTATGTTCAATAACGGTTTTAGCCAAAACAATATTAAGGGGGGAAGGGGGGGGGAGGTCGGGGATCTTCTTCACAGCGAACTTTTTCAATTTCAGCTAAGGTATAATTGTAATAATACTATTGATACCCATGTCTTTTTTTTGGCCTTTTTACGCTTTTCGGTGAATTCGAGTGTAATTGTGAACTTCAATCTTAAAATAACACTATGATAAAACTAACGAAGAGCTACCTATAAACTATTTGTTATACATTCTGTTTGTCAATTTTTCTGATACAGATTAAAGTCATCGATGCTTTTACTCACTGTTTTACTTTCGTTGGCTATCTACGTTATGCGCGGATATCGGTCGCTTCACAAATACCATGCAGAGATCAGACGATTACAAAGGATTTCGGAGAAGACCAATGTTCTGCTCGCCCAAACTAGAAGACTAGTTTAATAGTTATCCAGAAAATTCCTCTGCAGACGCACTTTCTGCATCTGACGTTGCCCAGCAAGTACTCGAAAATTGTATTTTTCAGCATCATACAAATAAATACTCTAGCAACTCTATGTATATTATTGTTTGTTAGATTCGAAAGTAAGCAAATTTTTTCACCTATTAAAGGTGTTTTACACCGTAATTTTCGATTCATTTGTAATTTGTTATTATTATCATTATTTTTTTTATTGTATCCAACTTTTTATTGTCCAAACCTGTTATTCGATTGGATCGATAATAAACATTGCATGTCTCCCGGACATTGCAGATTGTGGCAGCTGCTTTAGGAAATAGTCGCGCGCCGCTTCTATGCTTGCGTTAAGGATATGTAGCTTACAGATAGACTGAGCCTGCCGTCATGGAGATTGTGGTTGACCGTAACGTCAGTTCTAGCCAGGTAAAGTCTCTACTATTACTATGTACTTGCTGATATTTTCTCACTTTTTTCTAATCACTGTAAGCTTGAGTATGTACTCAGAGTAGAAATCCGTTGCATTTCCGATATAGGTGTTGCAACCGGCCAATACATACAAATCGCGACAGGCTCATGAACCCTTCAGATGTTTCTTGCTCCTCTACTAATCCGTGTCGTGGTCTCCATTGCAATAAAGGTGAAATGGTATCTGCTATCCGTATTGTGTATTCGCACATTTTCCGTATTCCGCTACCGTTCCTGTAGTAAGGACGTATGCGTGAGCAAGCCAATATCTTCAGGGCAAGAGATACAGCTCCGACTGATCTTATTTCTTTGGTGGGGTGAAATATAATGAAGCGTGTTTTTTTCAAAAATGTAACGACATGAAATCATGAACGTGAAGTAACTAGAACAAAATATAAAACCTCCTAACCCACTACTGTTACTATGCGTATAAAAACTAAGGTAAACAGGAAAATTCGTATGTTAACTTAATCAGTGTATATGCAAGGCTTTAACAGGAAGCTTTTCTGTTTTGCGGCCACAAATGTATTCCACAGGACGACATCATGCCTCAAATAAGATAAAAGGGAGGTTGAAGCTATATGAAACAAGAACCATACTGCCCGCTTTGCATCTTCGTTCCTACTTTTCGAAAAGAGGAAACTTGGCTTTTAAAATTCCCTTCGAAATTTTGAGACGCACACAACAGAGAGAGATTTAATATAATTCACATTATTGGATATTTTTCTTATGCGAAATTTCAGGTGAGAAGGTTATTTGGCAAAGCCAAGTATTTTTCGCGTTTCATTAAACTTCTGTAAAACGATAAAACGCAAAATAATCAACTTAGTCTCCTTATCTTAGTCTTAGACAATAGTCTCGAAGCTATCTTTTCTAGGCAGACTGCAGGCAAGTTACTTTTCATTTCATAAAAGTTACTACATAAAGCTAAGTTACATGCCAGCCTCAAGGGCTATACAAACCAAGCGAGATAGGCCTATATAAGCTAGTACTTTTTCGAGTTTACATGAAATAAATTGACATCAATTTTTAATTGCACAGAACTTAAATGCCCCACAGAATAGCTTATCGTAGCGGGAACATATATGTGGTGCCACATTGACTTAAAATGTCGTATTTTTTTTGCTTATTATTACTATTTACGTATGTTTGTTTTATATAATCCTTAAATGTATCATGCCTCTGAATGGCAACACTATTATATGCTGCTGATTGTATCTAGACGCATAGCATCTAGAGAACACTATAAACAACCCACTCGGAACAACCCACCCAGAAGGAAAACATCTTATGCATCATTTTGTTGAAAGTTATGTATTTTTTAGTTGGTAGTAGACTCAAAAGTGATACGTACTAGCTAGTGATAGCTAGTGAGAGAAGACAACGTTGCAATTAAACTTCCAAGGCCGTGGAGCTGCTGGTAATCCAAACGAGCGTGTCTCACAGGTGCAGTGCATCGTGTTTATTGATGCGTGCAGTGCACGTGAAGAAACAACATGAGCGACGTGCCTTCCTAATGCGCAAAGATCACGCAATGTTGCATCACGCTGATGACAAGGTCAACTGCGTAGGGGTTTGCATACGAACCGAAGAAAAAATATCAGACAGTTTGGATCATAACCAGTGTGCAGGGTGATAGCGCTTCGAACGCGATGCTGTCAGCTTCTCTTTCGAGAACTTGGAAATTTTACCCTATGGAAGTTTAGAGTTGAATTGTGAACTGTTTAAACCGAGTCGCCTGTCTGTGGTAAAGTAACTCGAAGGTGTTAAAACTTTGATGGGAACTATACAGTTTGATCTTTTTCAAATACCTTCAACCTGGACGAAACGTCCTAATTTATAATCACGGACTTATCAAAAGTGAAGGTTGCCCAACAGAGCTAAACAAGTTAATTAGGTAGCATAGCAAAAATAATCTTTGTTGCGATGTTCACCTTTCTGTTCGCAATTGGTAATACGGGTTTCACCTGTCTCGTGTCGTCTAGGGCCCACTTTGAGGAACACATTCGCATCCTCTAGGCGCATCCTCTAGCGGTCGAGGTTTCGCAAATCCGTCGGAATAAAATTTTAGTGTTTTAAGCATCTCATCGCGACCATTCGCTGCTTCCAGGAAAAGGCTCACTCGCTAATCATATATACCAAGAAGATCCATACATGCAGGCCTTAGTGGGATTAAGCTGGGCCTTTAGAAAGATGTCAACCCTGCTACATTTCTTAATACAGTGGTACTCTAATAATTTACAATGGTTAATATTTTTAGAGAGTGTTGGAGAACAGATGTCTTTCTGTTAGACTAAAAAAAAATGGCAAAAAGCGAGTTCTTTTAAATAGCACAGACCAAAAGCTCAGTCAGGAAAGCTAATCGAACCTCTATGCAGCATCATTCTAAGAAAAGGAAAATTTCCTGTCGTCAAGGTCCTGTCGCGGCCAGCTCTGTTGCCACCTTGCGGAAAGGGGCAAAGCTTGTAGATCATTCGTTATTCTCAAAAAGACAATCTCTGACAAGATAGACTCGTTCATTCCAACTATCCCACAGAATAATTCTCTTTTAGTTATGCTGTCTAAATAAATGCACTATTTATTAACTGTAGATATTTGTTTTTTGCTCTATTTACAATTACAAACAAAGTTTTTAGAGACTTCTTCGCGTAGAATCATCGATGGCTCATACAGATTTCCCCTGGCCTGTATAACTACTCCACCTGGTGAAAGTATACGGGCGGGAACTAAATAAGCGTTTAGCACTTCTTAGCCCCTATGGATCCACTATGCTATTTGCTTTAGGAACACAAAACCGCTGTACTCTACAGTGACCTTCTATAGTTATCTTCTGTGATAAACGAACTCGGCACGTAAATGCTGGAACAAAATCGCCAAACAAAGATCTAAGTAGCCGAAAAAGGTCTTCGGACAGATATGTCCGTGTATTGCCTATTTTCATAGCTGTTTTAATAAGGCATACACATTTGTCTTAAAATGCTTGATTATGAAAACGTCTGGTCTCAAAATATACGATCTGATTAAGAACTTGAAGTTCATGCTTTTAATAAGCGAAACGAAACGTCAGTATCCTTTACGGGATTAGTTGATCGAATATGTCTATTTCATAGTAAGACCTATATATAGTAGTCTAGTCTTTATTTTAGTAAATATATGACAATCGTTATTGAAATCTCGTGATGCAAATATAGGAAAACGATCCTGAGCAAGCTACACTGTTTTTTTTACTTTTCACACTTTTTCTTTAAATAACAAAAGACGACTTCTTTGTGTGGTCATATATTAGATTAGACGAAAGTTCGTACGACGTTCAACTTTCGACAAACGTTACTTGTTGTAAATTTACTACTTGTAAGTGAGAAACACTGTTGCCATATATAAGTAAGAGTAACCATACCTTGTAGAACTTTGACATGGACTACTTAGTAAAACGATTTTCAGATTAATCAAATTACGAACTTGCTATGGGCGTATCGGTGGTATGCCTACGCCAGTTCAACATAAACCTTCACAACGAATGCGCCAACTTCGCGTATAGTAGTACAACTTATATGCATCCAGTATGAGTTATGCTAGAATTTTAGCATGATTTTTATTAAAAGAGGTCACATACAAATCACTTCGAGGTGGTGCTGATTCGCGTGCCCCGACATTGTGTATTTACTACAACCGCTAGAAAATTTCAGGTTGTGACCTGAATACCCGATTCAGCCTAGGTACTAAATTTCCAAATGAAATCAGAAAAGATATTTGTCTTTGTCTCAGCGGCCCAAACTTTAATTAATAAATGTTTGGAGTTTTACCTTTGGTACACAGCCATGGCTTAAAATGGTTAGGTAAATTTTAACCTGGACAACCACATCTCCTTAAGTTTGGTAAGCAAACGCCAACCCTGACCTCAGTTATCCCCATTGAACCACACCTAGCGCACATTCGCCCCTTTTAATAGATCGTCAAAACAGTTTTAACAGCACTTAATCCTAAGAAGATCTAGCTCTATCCTTGTCTCCCTCAAGTAGCTTCTCTAGAATCTAGAAGTATTTTTGTTTTAGAATTTTTGTCAGCTTTGCAAGAAGAAAGATCGCAAACATAACATCTGGTATATGCGGGGATTAAGGCAACACATGCACTGAAATTTTGCAAAAAAAAACGTTATACAGAACGTAATGACTGAGCCAATGTATTATCATAATGAAAAAGTTCTGCAGAGTTTAGACTTATTTAACGAACTCAAGCGCCGTGAACTTCTTGGCAATACTTCTTCGTGACGGTAAAATTACTCGGCATGAGTTCGTAACGCGGAACAGTGGGAAAGATGATGAGATGAAGCTTGGTGTTTAAACTTGATCTCGACAGCTTTTTCTAACTTAAGCTCGCCTTAGAAGCGATTATTAGACAGCTGCCCTTTGCCTCCGCGTCATACCCATGCGCCCACGTCTTGTCACCTGCAACGAGGCGTCGAACTAGAGTCAGTTCTTTTGAGTGCGTCAAAGTTTACTTGAGACAGTTGTTGATAGTGTTGCAATAGCTGGAAATTCAAATCTTCCAGTAAATCCTTGCTGTAAACCTTTTTTGCCTTCGAATGATTTCACAACGATCCGGGATGATTCGCGTGAGATACCTAATCTCCCTAAAAGCTTTCGGAAAGTGATTCGGCAGTTCCCCAGCGCCAATGGTTTCCTTTTTCCATAGCAAGTCCAAGGGACCTGTCACGGCGAATTATATTCGCCGTGACAAGTCGCTCAGAACGAAAGTTGTGCCTAAGGCCTCCTTGTCAGTCCTAAAACGGTGTTACTACTTCAGTTTCGACTTATAACCTGACGCCTTGCCATGCATTAGCCTTTAGCCGACGGAAGTTGAACGTTTAATCGATACTTTGCAAGCCAGATCGAATCCCCGATATTGGAGATTTATGATACAGGTTTCATTAGAAGCGGTCATACCTTCATTGAATATTTCAATCCTCTAGAGTCGGTAACACAGCGCAATCAGTCATGGTAATACCGCTGTCGTTCAATTTTCATGTGAAGGTTCATCGGTGATGGTTTGAATTTTCAAATATTAATTACGTCAAGGAGAATGTGTGTACACCCGTAAAGGTGGCATATGTGTGTTTTGCTTCGCCGTAATGTTGCTATGGCTTATTCATACATACGCGTACACAACTGGTTACATATAGAAGGAATTTTCTCAGTAGTTGTTTTAGTTTTTTGTCAAAATTAACATGAATTGCACTTACAGAGAAAGAGAGGTCGGAAAAACAGACAAAGGTTCGAAAGTAGTGCCAGAACAAGGTTAGCATTTTTGCGTTTTACATTTCGTTCGTTCCGTTCAACTGGGCACTTTAATTACTCATCATCAGTTTTATACGCGAGAAAAACAACGTTAAATCGTTTTTAAATTAAACCTTTCTCATTTTGCTTACGAACATTGGTAATTCTAAAGTTTCAAACAAAGTATATAATAATAAAGCAACACCGGATCATCTGCGCGTTCCGCGTATGGTGCTACAGGCTTATGCATGTGCCGGCCAGTAAATCGCAACATATTTTGAAGGATGTTAAAACACGGCACGACCCAATTCATTTGTATAATATTGTGTTACAAAAAAATGTAAAGTCGTTTCCTCATTTGAATACATTTTGAAAAACTAGACACCCATATTTGCGACAAAAGTATGGGTTTCTGAAAGAGAGTAATTTGTTTTTAGCGATCTGACGAAAAACGCTTTTTATTGGCGCAGATTGTATATATGTGCACCAACAATCAGATCTGAATGCAGTTTCCGTTTCTGTGACTTTAAAGGAATCCATAAATTAGTACTACACTTGCTTCCGTCGGGTGGTTAGATATATATGGGTGCAAGTTTTAATGACCTTTGGTAAAAAAAAAGTATCTGTTTTTTTTTTAATCTTCCATAGGCTTGTATAAAGTTCAGGTTGTTCTGGTGAGAGGTGGGTAGAGTCTGTTTGAGCTAGCTCCTGTAGATTAGGCAAGCCTTTGGTCTTTTGGTCGTCTGGTTTCTCAATGGATCAATAATAATTTGGTCACCATATTGTGATCGGCTCACTCTGACAACCATCCTTCGGTGCTACTCAACACCCAATCACTATTCGCCCCCCTGTTCGTGGTGCCCATTGTGTTGTTATGGAAAACCGGCCACGTCCTCTACTTTTACAGTTTAGGATAAGTTTACATTGCCCGATTAGGGTAAGAGGCGAGTTCACCGCTGGACTGAAGAGATTTCCTGGACAGAGAAGGGTGATGATATAGTCGAGAGCATCAGGATGGAACCGACAAGCTGCTGTCGATGACGGACTCAGTCCGTGTCCGAATATCGGAGAAGCAATCCGTTCCATGCAGAAAAGCTTGAAGCGGAAATGGAAGGAAATTCGAGATAGCTGCGAGCTAGCAAGACGCAAGATTCGTGAGGCCCTATCGGCAGAACAAGGCCGTACGCAAATGCAGGCTTTAAAGGGTCTGAGCTAGCGCGAAAATAGAAAAGAGGATCACAATAAGCGGGACCTCACAGGAAAAAAACTAATAGCTTCCGATTTCAGTAGGATATGCTAGAGTTCAAAAGATGTTAAGGTAAGTGGATCAGTCTGAGCAACAGAAATATAAACAACAAGAATGAGAGAAATAACACGGGATAGCTATGCGAAAGCGAACTACATGAATAGCAAACAGAATTAGAATGATGCCCGCCAATTTTTATTGCAAAAACATTAAGATCACCGCTTACAGCTAGTCGACATTTCGATCTCAGCTTTCACACATAAAGGAGTCAGATATGACTTTTGTTTTTTGAAAACCCTGCAAATAAAGGCATCATAAGATACGTAATATATCCGGTCTGATAACACCACAGACTTCTGAAATATAGAATTTCACAGACAGCGAGCGTATCACTAACGCGTTGCATAAGGAGTTAGCGAACTAGAAACTACCCGCTTTTATTATGCAGATGTCTACCGTGAAAAACGGTCTTTCTTGTCCAGTGAGCAGTATATTAACTATGACTATACGTATGCACGCTCCCAGCACTAAATATCTTCACATATCATACCTGCTTACTACCCAAGAAACTTTAGGTTGAAATTGTCATTGTTAAGTTCAAATTTTGTTAAGGATCTCATTTGTATAGTGCTTTGTGCATAGTGACTGAAGTTGTCAGATAAAAGTTGTACAATATCACCCATGGCTCAACGAATGCAAACTGAACTTCTGTCATCTTTTCCTATTCATTGCTGAATGGCTATTTAGATAACTAGGTATTCAGCCTGGACTAGTTCTTCCCACGTTTTCTCTCCCATCATATCATTCATTCTTCTTCTTTGTGATTCAATTGCTATTTGAAGCTAGGTTGCCAACGGTAAGGACTCTCCTACTCGAAAATGCTCGTCGTTATTGTACTCTCAAAGCCCAAGGAGGCCGGGCCAACAGCCGTCCTTTCGCTCCTGTGCAAATACCACGACGAGCTGAGGCAATTGTTGACTCCGCTTTCATATAATC